AGGCCGCCCCCCCGCCCCGTCCTCGCTGAGGGGAGGAGAGGGGTAACTTTGACAACGCTGGTGTGATAACGCTCCTACTGAGGCGCTTTCAGTATAAATGAGTCCAGTCACTGAGCTGGCGTCAGTTTTTTATGTATTTTTTGTTGTTTGTTTGGTTTCGGTTTTTTTTTTTTTTGTAGAAAGTTTAATCCTTCCTCAAAGCGAGCGGCCCGCTAACCGCCTACTGAAGCGTGTGGCTGGGGAATGAAACAGCTGAGATTTAGCTTTCCAGGTGCCGCTTTGCACCTTCGTTACCTCTGTGTTTACAGGAAATGCTGCTAAAAGAAACTGGGAGGTGCGTACACACATTTCCAGTAAGTGTTGGCACTGGGCGCCCGTGGCCAAAATTCTGGGTTGAACGAGGGGATTGCAGGCTCTTGCCCAACAACCGGTGGGTTTTGCCCCTGTCTAATTCCTCATACCCTTTTCCTCTTTTTGCCACCTCATTTTAAGGCAACGTGTGCCCCTACACTGTGAGAAAAGGCAGTTCCACAGTTCATCACAGCATCCTTTCTATCGCTATTCTTCCTTTGCCAAAGAAAGAAATACTTACTTTTGCCACAGGAAGCAAAATAATACATGTTGTGAATCACTGAGGTGAGCTGCTAGAGGAGGTCATAAATAAAGACCCAGTTCTCAGAAGCATGCTTCACCAGTATGGATCAAGCTACGTGACTTACGTGCTTATCGGGCAAAGGTCTCTCAACGTTTCTCATTAAAGTAGGTGGTAGCAGAACAAATGTTTGTATCACTAAATAATAATTTTATTTTGAAGGCGTTTCAATGAGAATTTAACTATCAGGCATGCTGGTAGTTCTAGCATCTTTTAGGTTCATTTATTAATGTTTAGATGTATTCGTTGAAAATCGAATCTAGAGCGGCCCTAAGGATTCCCCTCTGCTTTTCAGTGGAGCTTGTGGAAGAGTTAAAGGCAGTGTCTTAGGAGGAATCACAACAGATGAAGCTCAATAGCTGGAGACTGGTTTTCCCCATGATGGATGGTAATTTTGACTGTAAAGTGGATCTTACACTGTCAATCACGTGTGTTTTAGAACTGCACGACATTATTAATCACTATTGTAATATAAAGTTATTACTTCAGGATGAAATTAACATTATAAGTGCATAAATGTGCATGTCTGTCTATTGGAACAGAAGGATGTATTAGGTTCCTAAGTTCCTAAATCACTTTCTTGAATTTAGGATTTGCATTTTCTAATTTTCTTTCTCTTTCATTTTTCAGTAATTAATTTCACTTGTTTTTTCTCACTATGGTAATATTGCAAATGGTTTTGGAATAAACAAGCAATAGAGATTGAACACTTCTACTCGTCTCAGATTTCACTGAAGTTTGTTATTACTCTATGTTGAGTGTCATCATCTTCCTAATGGGTTTCAGGAAAGATACTTGACTTTTAATAAATAGATAAATATATAAAGAAAAGATGGAAGGAAACAACTACATTTGGCTACTTTTAACCAAACACAGAAGTATGGATCACATTTGAGGAATATATTAGTCTTTACAATGAGGGTGGTGAAACACTGGAAGGGGTTGCCCAGAGAGGTAGTGGAGGCCCCATCCCTGGAAGCATTCAAGCCCAGGTTGGACGGGGCTCTGAGCAACCTGATCTAGTTAGCGGTGTCCCTGCTCACTGCAGGGGGGTTGGACTAGATGACCTCTAGGGGTCCCTTCCAACCCAAAACATTCTATGATTCTATGATTCTTCCAGTGATTGCACTGGTAAGCCTGAGTCATAAATAGGAGGGCTAATGGCATGCAGTGAATGGTAATATGCTTATTTTGCTGTTTAACATATGATTTATCTGTCTTTACAGTATATAGGCAGAACTGGAGAACTCAAACTATGCCAGTGGCCAGCTCATACTGTCACTTAATTGAAGAGATACTCTCGAATAAGAGCCTCTAATTTATGGCAGTTATTACCCGTTAACCAAACGTACGTCTGGTTCTGTATTCATTTGAGTAATAGGTAGGCTATATTCAAGCAGTTAAACTGTTACATTCCGAACCAGGAATGAATGTTTGGTAGAAGCAAGGTCTTGCCTTGGGGTTTTATCTCATCCTAAGGATGGATAGCAAAATCTTTCCAGCTAAGGGTAGACAGTGGTGAGGTTTGTATGTAACAACATTGTAAGGTGTCATTTGGAAACCAGATGTGAATACTCTTGTCTGTATTGACAGAAATGGAGAAAGAATCCTAGAGTACCACCATAAGGCTCGTGGGCATAACAGCGGAGAATATGAATTGTCCATATTCTGTTGCTAACTACCTGTCCTATCTTTCCCTTCCTTTCTTGGATGACCTCTTCTCACTTAAAGCTGAGAAATGAAATACGATGTACAGAATAAGCTTTAAAGTGAAAAAGTGATTTTTAAGATTATTTCCTCTGCTTCCCGAATCACTGAAATATTAAACCATGAATGCGTTATGGTATGCTAACCCAGAAAGGTAGGTTGTAGTGTGGCAGTTCTGTATTCAGATCTCAGCGAAAATGGAATTTCTGAGCAACATCATACAGAAATAAAGAGAGACTGTTTTATGTCTTTGCCAGGACAGTAACCCAAGTGTTTGGGCATTCAGTATCAAAGTCTCTGCTCTGTTTTAATTAAAAAAAAAAAAAAAAAGGCCCCGCCCACTGTTTGCATGTCCTCTGTTTAACTCAATCACAACACTGCTGGAGCAGGGGGGAGATTTCCCATTAAATGGAAATTAAAATAAGACAAACAGTGCTTTCATAAACCAGTCTTGATCAGAACTTGACAACTAAATCAGTGTAGCTAAATGGAAAAAAAAAAGTAATGCATATAGACTTAGATCATCATTAAGTTCAGAAAGGAAGATGTTTGAATTTTCAGTGTAAAACTTGCTCAAAAGAAGTACTTACTTTCATACTAATTTGATGAAGAAAGTTGGTAAAAAGATATTTTTTTTCCCTTAACCTACTGCAAAGCATGAAAACGTGTAGTTCAAGAAGAAGTACTTATTTTCATACTAATTTGATGAAGACAGAAAGATGGTAAAAAGATTTTTTTTTCCCTTAATCTACTGCAAAGCATGAAAACGTGTAGTTCAAGAATAATTAAACAATGGGGAAATTACAGTAATGTTATATGTGGAAAATACACCTGGAGAAAAGCAAATGCCATTTCATAAGCTGTCAGTAGATGGCACAAACATTTATGTAAAAAGTTTGGGTGTTCTTAAGTATTGTCACACAGTAGGATAGAGTTACAGGAAGTTGGGGGGTTTTTTTGTCTTTTCCTGAGTACAATTTCTGCTTTTTCAGAGAACAGGGATTTCTGGTGAGAAACTTTCCATTTTATTGATTTTATGCGGTTGCTCGTTAGATAAAACTGTTTTACATTCTGCATCTTACTTGAAAATGAGCCATGTTTTCCATAGAGGGTTATTAGCAAGTGTGTGGTGCACTTTCAAGTGTAGGGGTAAGAAATGAGAGCGAAGTTGGTTATTTTCAGTAAATTTACCCATAGAAGCTGGCCAAACAGCAGTCTCTCTGTATTAGCAGTGTACCCATAGTTAAGGGGTTTACAGTGATTTAATGGAAATAGTTTTTTCTACAGTTCAGGATTGGGTCTAACTTGATGATATGTTTCATCCATGTGAAAGACATATTTTTAACATTTTAGTTTCGTGTTATGCTGATAACTTGCGAAGTGCATGCCTTAATACTGAACCATCATAGCCCAATGCGTTCTGTACATTTCTTATATGAAAGTTTACTCAGTTTATACTGAGTTTATATTGGAAAAACTCTTAAAACCTCAGTTTTGATAACTTCTCTTGCTCTTTAAACAACAGGACAATTTCTCGCTATGATCTTGGTTTGCTTACCTTACTGGATTGCTTCTCTCTTATATCTTGATAATGATCTTTTTGTCAGGTTTGAAGGCTTGGAGGATACTTCTGAATTAAAAGGGATATGACTATAAAGGAAAATTTCTCCAGTGTTAGCCCCCAAATCATGGGTCATGTGTTATAACAGTTGTTAATTTTGTTGCTTCATAGAGTATTCTAAAGGAAGTTTGAAGGTATTTGTAAATAATTTGACTGAATGCCAGTGTATAGGAATGAGAAAGAAAATTGAGCACATGTGGAAGAATCATAGACTTCTTCCACCTAGTCCCTGGATATTGCTGATATTTTGTCCTAAGAAGAAATAATGATTTGAAGGTAGATTTTTTTTTTTTCCAGATTTCTCTTGAAGCTACATATTTTGTTTGATTACATACACATTAGTAGTGTGGCCCAAACAATCAGAAGAACAGGATAGAGGATGCTGATTATCTTTTGTTCTCTGCACATGCCCAAATGCCTTTTGAGGGCTATGATGGTAAAACTGCAAACGAAAAATCTGGAAAAAGGCTGGAAAATTTTTTCAATATTGCCCCACTATTTCTAGACAATTTCCATGCCTAATTTCATACATTCTTTACAAAAGAAGAACTCAGTGGACCGCCTGTTTTTTGTTGTACTGTTGAGATTTCTTAATATAGGTTGTGTTAGATCAAGGAGAATGTACATTTTAGACCCAGGAAATTAATGCTAAGAAAGCCTATGGAATGGTTAATGGTACAGAGGGTGTAGTCCTCGAGACTGTAGCTTTAATCCAACAGGTGACAGCTGTTTACTGTCTCATTCTTCATGCTTCAGTCCAGGATTTATATTCGCAAGTCCGTTTAAAAAAAAGTCTCTGAGTCTAGTTCATGTCCTTCAAGAGAGACTCTGATGAGAGGATGACCATACTGATCAAATATTGTACTTTCTGATCAAAGTGTATTAAACAGTTGTGGGAAGTCTTCGTAATAAATTGAATCACAGCAGTAATTCTGCAGGTAAGCAGCAAAATTTAGTCACCTATGAAGTCAGACATGTTTTGTAAGAAACAGACTCATTATATAATAAATACAGCATATTCACCAAACAGAAATTTCAATGGTGTTCTCTTAATAAAGAATGCCTCTCCTGAATGATAATAGGTGCCTTCATTGCTTTTTGAGTCAAAGGGAGAGATGGGAAATTGGAACCTTAAAAAATCAGTGATGGCTCCTGCGTAGCCACTTAATGATACAATCTGGGTTTTGTTTTTATTTGTTTGTTTTGCTACAGGATTAGAACAAAGATGGAAAGACAAGAAAAGTATTGAGCATCTCCAAGGAACCAGAAACCAATGTGACAGAAAATATGAGCTCTCTCAGAAACTTTTTTCTTTACAAGTGTCTGTTTGCATTAACTTTTTGGAACCGTATCAGCCTGTCTGTGGAAAATGAACTCTTTACATCTGTTTCTAACAATTTTCCAGAAGATGGTTCTGACAAAAAAATCAAGAGCCTGCCACTCCTGCGTACAAATAGTCATCAGTCCAAAGCTAATTTTGAATGGGTTGTAATACAAAATAGTACGGAAAGCCTGTCACTGTCAGAAATCACAAATGACAATGTAGAGAAATTGGTAGCTTTATTATCTAATTTCAGACAAGGCTCCAGGTTACAAAATCTGACGCTGACAAATGTGTCAGTGGACTGGAATGCTCTTATGGAAATTTTTCAGACTGTATGGCACTCATCCATTGAATACTTAAATATTAAGAGTGTAACACAATTATCAGACATCAGAAATTATAACTTTGACTATTCAGGTACCTCTATGAAAGCATTGACAGTGGAGAAAGTTTTAATCACAGATCTGTACTTCACACAGAATGACCTATACAAAATATTTGCAGACATGAATATTGAAGCTTTGACGATAGCTGAATCGGATATGATACATATGCTGTGTCCTTCCTCTGACAGTCCCTTTAGATACTTAAATTTTTTAAAGAATGATTTAACAGATCTTCTTTTTCAAAAATGTGACAAATTAATTCAACTGGAGACATTAATCTTGCAGAAGAATAAATTTGAGAGCCTGTCTAAGGTAAGCTCCATGACCAGCCGTATGAAATCACTGAAATATTTGGACATGAGCAACAACTTGCTGAGTCACGATGCAGCTGATGGGCAATGCCAATGGGCTGAGTCTCTGACAGAGTTGGACCTGTCCTCAAATCAGTTGATGGATGCCGTTTTTGAGTGCTTGCCAGTCAACATTGAAAAACTCGACCTACAGAACAATCAGATCAACAGTGTGGCCAGGGGGACGGCTGAGCTGAAATCCTTGAAAGAGCTGAACCTGGCGTCAAACAGGCTGGCTGACCTGCCGGGGTGCAGTGGCTTTCCGTCCCTGGAGTTCCTGAACATAGAGATGAATTCAATCCTCACCCCGTCTGCCGACTTCTTCCAGAGCTGCCCAAGGGTCAGGGAGCTACAAGCCGGGCACAACCCGTTCAAGTGTTCCTGTGAACTGCAAGACTTTATCCATGTGGAGAGGCAGTCTGGGGGGAAGCTGTTTGGCTGGCCAGCGGCATACGTGTGCGAGTACCCAGAAGACTTGCGAGGAACACAGCTGAAGGACTTCCACCTGACTGAACTGGCTTGCAAGTTTCATGCATTTGTTTCATACAGCGAGCGCGATGCATTGTGGGTGAAGAACGAGCTGATCCCAAACCTGGAGAAGGGGGAGGGCCGTGTACAACTGTGCCAGCACGAGAGAAACTTTATCCCCGGCAAGAGCATTGTGGAGAACATCATTAACTGCATTGAGAAGAGCTACAAGTCGATCTTCGTGTTGTCTCCCAACTTTGTGCAGAGTGAGTGGTGTCACTATGAGCTGTACTTTGCCCATCACAAATTATTCAGTGAGAATTCCAACAGCTTAATCCTCATTTTACTGGAGCCGATCCCTCCATCTATTGTCCCTGCGAGGTACCACAAGCTGAAGGCTCTCATGGCGAAACGAACCTACCTGGAGTGGCCAAAGGAGAGGAGCAAGCGTGCCCTTTTCTGGGCTAACCTGAGAGCCGCTATTAGCATTAACCTGCCAATGGCTGATGGAAGGAGGTGTGGGGAAACAGATTAAGAATCTTTCCAATGGATTTTCTTCTGTTTTTTCTTGGTGAAGCAATACATACTTTATGATTTCCATTGGTTGTCAATGTAACATTTTGTTACAGAACCTTCTTTCTACATACTTGTCTATGCTCGCTCCTAACTGTAGGCAAAATTCAACTCACCTTACTGGAAGTGTCTTGAGGCTGATAATAAAGATAGCAAGTCAAAGATGAGTTTGGATGTGGATTTTGAAATACAGCTAGAAATACCATAGTGATTTTTTTCTCAGCAGAATAAAATCTGGAGCACTTGGTATAGTCATGTGGAAGAGTGCTTGAGTTGCTGCAGAGTTTGCAGAGCTGCATTCATCACAAGGCTTAGGCAGCTTGGTCACAGGACCTTTTTTGCTGAAAGTAGGTTGCAAGAAAGAAAATTACACATCCTAAGAAGATGTCTAGAAGTCCAGAGCTTGAGATGATTCCTGGGTAGTGTTTTCTCTGATGATCATAGCAAACTTCTTCTTTGCCCCCAGAAGGGCAGGTGTTTGCTGTCTGGAACACCAGACTTAAATGACCAGCAAGCAGGAAGTTTTCCTTTCAAAAATGCATTTCAACATGAAGACGAGAGGAGAAGGGATGTTAAGATGAAATCCTCACTTAGTATAGAATGTTTGCATTTTATCTCGTTCTTGACTTCCGTTCTTATTAACAAAAGACTTTAATTTTTATTTTTATTTTGCCTGAGGTCTAAGCAGGCTGAGGTCTCTTGACGTCAGGTCTTGAACTGTGAGCGACTATTTAATGATTTTTTGGGGAAAGGTAAAATTTAACACCTTTAGCTCTCTCAAAATTAATATAACACACCTATTACCAAATTGCAGGCATTTCATTCAGGACTGCAGAAATCAATGTTTTCTGTGTTTCCTCCTTCCCCTCCAATTAATGCCTCAGTGTATGACTCGTTTAACCCTTAGAAAACTGAAGATGAACATACTTAAATTGGCTTGCCTATCCCTTTCACACAACCAGGGACAGCTGGGTTGTTACACAGTGGCTTGCTTGAAAATTTTCTTTGAAAGCCTCAGAGTTTTAGGTCAGCAGCCCTTGAAACTTCTGTATGCAGTTAACATCACCTGTTCTGTGTGAAGCTTTTAAGAACTCATATGGCTTCTTCTGCTGGCCGGAGGATAGAGAAACCCTCTGAAAGTCCAAGTGTGCAGGAAAATCCTTCCTGCTACTCAGATGGGAGTGCACAGCTGTTGCCAAAAATTAATTATTTCTTTCAGAAGTGGAAGGTTTTAGCAGGGGTTTGCTTGCCACTTTGGAAAGAACTTGGGAACTATGTGACCTCTGGCAGTGTAGCTGATGCAATCATAAGCAGAAATATATAATTACAGGTTTCTGGTGTATGTCCAAAATCATTTTGTGAATGATGTTGGAAAGGGGGGCTTGTAATGAGCGTGGGGAGCAATTAAAACTTGTACTTTGGAACCAGAAGCCCACATACTATTAGGTTTTTGTACATGCTATGTGCCAGATAATTGACAAAACAGGTACCTGTGTAGTGAATGACTGCATCTGGTTTCTCTGATTCCACAGGAGAGAATGTGTCTCAAGCAATGCATACCAGAATATTTAAAACAATTATTTTAGCCTCCACCATACTCTGAACACTTTCTATAAAAGCAGTTTTAGTCCAAGAATAAGTTTTTCCTGTGCGTGAGCCCATGTGTTAGTCTCCCAGCCCATGTCAGCCACTCTATCTCCGCCCTGGTGATGTGAGTCTGCAACTGGTTCTGCTCTGAAAGCTGTGGCTGCTGATGCACTCCAGGTATCAGGAAAAGGGAGTATGTAAACATATTCTGATGTCAGATACTGTATCAGAGCAGATTTCTGGA